GTGATAGATGAAGGTAGGCTTGGCTCAAATCTATAATGAAGAATTTACCCTTGGTTTTAATTTCTACTAATAATTCTTCAATTCATAGAACAATTGCTATCTCCAACTTTAAATATGGGTTAATCTCCTGAAGGTTTAATAATTAGAACTATGGGTGTAACCCACATGCTATAGTTTACTTTGCATGTTATACCTTCTTTTTCTAATCTGTCTACTTATGTTTTTTCTTTAGACTTTAATACAAGTGATATTATTCTGGGTTGAAAAAATTTGGGCTTTGCATCGTCCATTAATACTAGCTCAATTTCTTCACCTTTATACAAACCTAATTTGTCACTAATTAGGTACTTCAGAGAATTTTTTAAAAATTTCATTATCCATATTGTTCAGATCTATATTATATCTATATTATATTATATTCTAATTTTAATACAATATTAATAAAGAACGTGAATTATTTGGCCAGTGCAATACTGTAATGCCACAACTACGAATGGATCCAACAAGATTTTATATGTACTTCAGAATGACTCCTGAATGTTATGACGAAGTTTTAAGTTTGATTGAAAATTAAATCCGTAAAATTACAACACATTTTCGCCTTCCAATTTCATCAACGGAACGACTTGCGATATGCTTAAGGTATTAGATATAGTAGGCATACTGTAATACACTAATACCAAGGATTATATTTAACACTAATAGTCTTAAAACTCTTTTTTAATAAATTAGAAATATAAATTCAAATATTAAAAATATAAATAAATATATTTATTTAAATTAAAATATAGGTACCTATGTATTGCGAGTGGGCGACTTGTGTTTAAACATAATTTTTTTTTCAAAATACCTACATAGTTTATTAAATTTCATAATAATATGATATAGGTATAAATAAAAATTACTAGAACATTCATTTTTATTTTTAACCATTTTTACCATTGAATATAGGTGGAACCTATAACCTATAATTTATATTTAATTTCTAACAAGTTAAGTTTTTTGATAAACTAATATATACCTAAATATAAACACCTATGTATATACAGCAAATTAAATTAAAATTAAAATTAAATGCCTTAAGATAAATCTATAATAGGTGTTGTTTTCTAATTTTATATTATTAAAAAAAAAAAATTAATATTAATTAGGTAGGTATAGTTAATGTTAATCCATACTTATTAGTTATTAATAATAAAAAAAAAATTATAAGTTCGTGTAACTATTTTCAATACTACTGCCAGTGTATTTGTCTCCATAATGACTTTATTCAACTGTTAAATTTATTGAATTTTGTTCGGTATCTTGAGTTGCAGGATATAAATATGGGTCATGGTTTTGAGAATGTGAAGGAATTCTGTGGTCATTTTCAGTACGGTAATCATCGTAATTTTGTTCGTTTTCAGCAATTTCTTAGATTTCTAAATCAGTAATTATTTCTGATTTTTTTTTTTTGCAATGGCTTTACGTATAGGTGAAAATGTTTTTATAGTTTTAGCGTAACTAAGCATTAACATTTCAACTGGATCGAGTGCAGTATGAGTGATATTTTGTTTAAATTCTCCAAAACCTTATCAATATTAGATGCTGCTGCAAGTTGTTTATTTTTTTCATTTTCATTTATTTTCGAAGCTGAAACTGGAGGTAGGTTGGATAATTGCAACTCTTCAGTACAGTTCTCGACGTCTAGTTGTTCGTCATTGGAAGTTTCATTATCATAACAAATGTTTGATTCATTACTTATACCTTCTACAGGTAAAATATTAGATAAAGTACTGGAAAAAAAAATAAAATGTTAATAATAGAATAAATTAATATTTTTTTTCAAAATAAATACCTCATATTAAACATATATTACACACTTACGCAGCAAATTTCATATGTGGCCTTAGAAATTTTAGAAGCTTAGCCCAAGTCCACTTTTTATAAGGATCCAAGTGCTTTCCTTTAGAAGCTCCTGCAGCCTGTCCCGTAGTTGTACTATTTGCTTTTAACTCTTTCATGCACAGGTTTTTGTATGTTTTTCAGACCTTAGTTGCATGTGTATTTAATTTTTTTTTTTTTTTTGATATACATATTTAAAAATATGTTTGAAACAATTATCAAAAAAAAAAAAAAAATTTAGTTATGAAACTCAGGAGTTACAATATGTTGGATTACGTATATCCCACCGTACATACTGAGCTCATATTATTTACTCACACACTGTGCCTGTTCGTAAAATAAATTTAAGGATTCTATCATTTTTTTTTTTCTTTGTCTACATTGAATCATTGGCAGGGGCGCATTAAGGGTTCACATATGGGGGGCAAAATTATTTTGCGCCCCTGGTGTATTTTATGATTATTAATGAAAGTATAAAAAACTTAAAAAAATTTCCTCGCTGCGCTCGAAAAATTAAGTTAGTACCTTACATTTCATACAGTTATTATACCTATATAGATATCTTATTAAATTAATTACTAAATATCTATTTGGAACTTGGAATAATAATCCTTTCTTTTAAAATAGTACTGGTAATTGGAATATTTATTATGTAAAATGTTTATATTTCATTAACTAATAAATACCTCATAGTAAGCAACTCCTATATTTTTAGTTATTTATGGAGTACCTATGTATTAAGCATTGACTTATAATAATAAATATATCTTTATTATTTATTAACAATAAAATATTATTACATATTATAAAACTATTTAAATGACAAATATGGAACAATACTAATTAAAATATTTTCTTATTTTTTTGTTCACAAACTCTTTTATAATACTTGACCAATCAATACTTCTAATCACCTCATTTTCTATTGACAGCCATAGGCGCACATTGGGTGTGAATTCAGGGGGTGCTGGGATAATTTATAGTTCACACCTCCTAATCCTAATATTTCTGCATTGCATTAGATTTAATTTGTATAGTGTATACAATAATTTCTAAAGTGCAATGTATCAAATAGTCTGTATGATTGTAAAGAAGACGCTAGGTACACCCAAATGTGTTGTCTCCGTATTACAGACGTAGGTACAACATAGGCAAAACTGTTTTGCACGGGTATAAAAAACATTCAGGCTCTACTCTAAGCTAAGAAACTAAATGTTCACACTATAAAAATGAGAAAATTTACTCTGTAACTTTGTTTTTATATTTCCGATATCAAAACCAAAATAAAAGTTATTTAAGTTTGATAAACAAAAAAAGGTGCTCTGCTGTACAGTAGGGTACAAGTGGGTCACTGTATAATCGATGGTATTAAATTTGAATTCAATGATATACTAACATCATTGTATAAGAAAAACGATTCTGAGCGAAGACGGTTAGTCAGCCTATGTTATTACTAAGTATATTTGATGATACTAAGGTGAATAAAGCAATTTATATATAACCTATTTACGTAGAATCTTGTTTTCAATTTTCAATCATTAGCTATAAAAGTTGAACATTTTATAAATTTTTAACTATAAAATTATTATTAAATTTTAAATGTGATAAATTTTGTCAAAATTTGAATTTTAAATAATTATTAAAAAAAATTATGCCTATGTATTTTTAATATTTTTCAAGTGTTATTGTAACAATATATCAGGAGCTTTGCATTAAATTTTCAAGCTTTTTACCATACAAATAAAATTTTATTGATATGAATAGAAAAAAAATTAAAATATTGAAAACTGAAAATGTCCGTAAATAGCTCAAAAAGAATCAAAATATTTTCAAAACTATATGGTGTATAGGAAATGCTAATATAAAAATTTAGTAAAATTTTCAAGTATCTACAGTCATTCGTTTTTTAATTACAACAAAATTAGAAAATCGTTACATGAGAAATCGAGTGAATAATATCAAATGTTGTAAAAATATGAATTTCAAACGTTCATAAAAATTTAATTTGAGATTCTTGTAGACATTTTTTTTTTGATAAAGGTAGACAAACTTATGAGGAATCTTGCATTACATTTTCATATCTTAGATTTAAAAAGAAAATTTTTATGAATTTCTAACTCGAAATAATTTGTAAATTTTCGTCATTTTCACGTATTTTGTCAATATTTGGAATTTAAATGCTTATAACAATTTGACCCCCCCAAAGTACCAACTAGATTCACTTTCCTATCAGAAAAGATACTGTTGAAGAAAATCCAAGCACTTTTACTGCCCTAAAAGATGATGACGGACAAAAAAAAAAATGAATTCGTGAATTCGTAAACAGTTGTCAATATTTGTAATGAAAAGAAAATTTCCGAACCAATAAACCACGATAGTTTATAAATGATTGGTGAAATACTGAAATAAACTGAGGGTGCTAGTTTGAAGCTTGCATATAAATGCCCATCTCATACTATGACATAATTGTATATACATAATTTATAACGTTTAATAGTACATTAGTATGATAGTTCTAATTATTATTAGTTGTTTCTTAAACCCGAGTTTTCCATTATGTCATACAATTTGTATGTTTTCTTTTTGACTCTGAGATACAAAAAAAAAAAAAAATTACAAAAATGTACCGCCCCCAAAAAACTTCCGCCCGGGGCAAATGCCCCTTTTGCCCCCCCCTTAATGCGCCCCTGATCATTGGTATCTATACATTCCTACTATTAACTACGATAAAATCAAATAATATAGAATACGGGCTTATACACATTGATTGAACACCTTACCTAGTAAAATAAATTTAAAAAAAAAAATATTATTACTCTTTTACATATTATATTTGTATAAAAAAATCAAATACCTTCATATTATATATAAATATATAACTACATCATATTAAAATTTAAAAAAATATGTACCTATCAATACATTAAAACTTATATCAAATCATACTTCCAAGACTTTTTATCAGATTTATCGTAAATAATAATAAATTAAAATTGCATAAAGTATTTAATTTAAAAAAAACTACTACTACTACTACTATTATATTTGCTTATATGTTTATATGTTTCATTATTGGCTTGCACTGACTTCAAACTGAAAAAATAAAATTACCAGTTTTACTTATGATGATCAGCAAAACAGTTTCGGTTTTTTGTAATGCAAAGTGGAACGTTACATACTGCACACATCCACTCAGTTCTAACTTCTTTTTCTCTTGTGCAGCATTTTGCACATCTTCTTGTCGATATTTTCGGTTGATGAGCTGATTTTTCCAAACGAAGAGAGTCAGGTACAAAAGACTTGTTTTTTAATTTCCGCTGGTGATTTTTTAGTGCTTTTAGATTGACGTTTACAAACAATTGTTTTGTTTAGTAGCTCCCTTGAAATATCACGTTGGAAGTTTTTCATAGTTATTGTTGTTCCAGTGGATTATGTATACATAACATGTGAATTTACAACTGCTATATCGATGAAATGAAAAAATATACGGTGCCACCATTTTTGGCTTTTGCGGTCAATTTGGCTGGACTTTTTGTTTTGATTTAATTTATCGACGCAATTCATGTTTTCATTATAGTCTTTTAAAACTTTCGGGCAAGGTATCATTGTCAAAGTTCAGTCTTTAGCTCTCCTAGGTAGAATATCAGTGTCAGTTGGATTATGGAAATTAGATAAAAGACTAACTGATCGTTTATCTTTCCATTTAATAATTGATATTGAAAATTGATCGGTATTCCAATCATATTTTCCTTGTTTTAAGGACTTGTCATCTTTTTGCTGTGGTAAATGTTTTCTTGTCATGTTTACTGTTTCACAAGCATAAATCCCATTTGATTTCAAGTACGACATAAGCGGATAACTAGTGAAATAGTTGTCAAAGTATAAAAAATAGTTTTATTTTTAAGTGGTGCAGATAAGTTTTTCATTACACGTGCTCCCAAATTTTTTTCTACCGTACCTATCACCAGACTTTCCTGTATAGACATCAAAATTCCAAAGGTACCCGTACTTGTCTGCCAAAGCCCATACTTTATATCCTCTTTTTATGGGTTTTTTAGGCATATATTGTTTTGATGAATGACGGCCTTTAAATTTTATCATTGATTCATCTATAGCTACTATTCTATTTGGATTGTATACTGCCTGACTATTTTTTAAAACTAAATTGAGAAATGGCCTTACCTTGTACAATTTATCGTAGTTGGCGTCTCCTTTTTTTGGAATTACAGAATTGTCGTTCAGATGTAAATGTGATAACAACCAACTAAACCTATTCACTGGCATAATATTACTTACATAATCGTCGTGTAAATCTGGAGCAGAAGACCAGTAATCCCGATAGCTGCATTGTTTTTTTTATACCCATTAGTAAATTAAAACCAATAAAATCATTTATTTCATTAGTATTTGTTTCTGAGTAAGGTTTTCCATTTTTTAAGTAAATTTGATTAGCATATAAATTTGTTTGAAATGTAATATAGTTAATTATTTTATCTGTGATTAAAAGTTTAAATACAGACAGCGGAGTAACTTCAGTTATTGTATCTAAAATATTAGTTGGCCCTTGTGAACAGTCAAATGGAACAATTTCAATATTTATATTATTTTTCTTCGACCAAATAGGTTCAATAAACTCGGTTTGTTGAAAATTGAAATGTACTATTTTCAGGTATAACATTTTCATAAGGTAAAGGCACAGCAAGTTCTTCATTTTCTCTTATTTCAATATTTTGTTGAATAGGAGGAAAAAGTGTACGGTGGTTATTGGTAACATATTTATGATTTGTTATTTAATTTTGATTTATTCTACGACTGGATCGTGTTTTTTTCGGACTTGGTAAAATATATGATTTATTTTCTTCAATGTCAAAAATGTCAACATTTTCTTCTTCATTATCTGAAGAACTAGACGATTCAACTACAACAAATTGTGGACAGGTTGGAACAGAAAGCTTTGGGAAATATGTTTCATCATCGTCCGAGTTGTCTACTGATGAAATACTGTCGTCATCAGATGGTAAATCTTCAAAAATTATGTCATTTATTTCACTTTCTTTTAACGGTGGGACATATAATGGACGCTCATTATTGCAGAAATATTGGGCCATATATTTAGAGCAGCTAATCAAAACCAATATTAAATTAAACTATATTATATTTAGAACTAAATTAAAAAAAAAATCATACAAATCGGTAGATTCGATAAGGAGAAAATTAAACATTAAGTTTTATAAATTTTTAAATATAATAATTTGAAAAAAAAAATTAACTGATATTTAATAATCGTACACTTCTAGAAATGTACACACATGAGCCATATATAATGGAAAACATATTAAATATCTTAAATTAAACCAACAAACTACTAAAAATAGAAAAACAATATTTTATAGGTGGTATACTATTAGTCGGAAAGGTTATTTTTTTGGTGGGATTGTGTATATCCCACCGTGCCGGAAATAGTTAAATATTTCTGGTAAGAATCCCTCAAGTTCTTCCATTTAGTTTTTAAAAGTTCTCCTTTAAAAGTTTAAATGTAATTGATATCAAAAATCCCAAATTAAAAGTCACTATAGATATTGTGTAGAATTTCTGGAAATATTTGATAAAGTAGGTACCTATAAACATAACTTAAAAATAAAATATATATACAACATACGAATAAGCTGAAATTTATTTGAATTGTTATAGTTAATTAAACACTATTAACTACAAAGACCTCTAGTATTAACTTATTAATAACTTATCAAACATTCAAATTTGTTTTAGCAGAAATAATATATATTATACTACCTGTCCCGGCAAACGTTGTTTTGCAGAATAAATTTTTTCTAGTGAATATTTTGGTAATCAAAATAGAATGCATTGAATGATACACTGATTCCACGGCCACCAATAATTATTATTATAATAGCTTTAAAACCCATGGCAACCATTTATAAACAACAATTTCCATCGTAAATCTCAAAATCCCCGTTTGAGCACATTCCCTGGTTGGACCTAGAGGGATGATTTGTGAATCTAAACTATCCGGGGCGTCAACCAAACGCATACAAAAAAATTCATTCAAATCGGTCCAGCCGTTCAGAAGGAGTATTCAGTCACAACACACGTGCAGTAAAATTATGTATCTAATATATAAATGTGAAAATGAAAACCTTTGAGTGATATGTTCTCGGAAACTACTGAACCGATCGTTATGATTTTTTTTTTTTAATTGAAGAGCTCATTGCGGAGAAGGTTTATGGCTTTTAATAATAATAATAATAATAATAATTTATTTACGGAAATAAATTCCAATTACAAAAATATTGTAGTGACAGTTTGTTTTAAGTGCACATAATATGGGTTACAACTTAAAAGTAGGTAATGTGAATACAATACAAATAACATAGAACAGAACAAAATAGAGAAAAGAACAAAAGAAAAAAGAAAAAAAAAAGTTTATGTATACAAATATTAAATATTAAATAACGATTTAAATTTAAAGATAGGTATTATATAAAAGCAGCATAATATGAATAAATAATTATATTGAGAGTTTAGTGGTTTAAATGTATGTAGAAGAAATAAAAAGGGGGAAAATATGATATAGAAAGCATAGAAATAGAAGAGGACAAGAGAAGATTAGATCAAATATTAGACAAATTAAATAAGGTAGTGTTAAATAAATCTAAGTCTTTAGTTGAATTAGCTGCTATAAAAAATTTAGCCTGATCAAGTATTAATATTGTATGTAACCATAAATGATTTTGATGTTATACATAAGTACACATAACTATCGGGTACTAAACAAAATAAAACATGACTCATTATAAAATAAATCCTACATTTCCTACATTGTCTATTTATGTATATGGATGCTTTAAATATATGTTGATATATTTATTAAATAATAATATAATATATATGACTTTTTTTAGATATTTAGCTTCTGGAGAAACGTACCGTTCGCTGTCTTTTGCTTTTCGCATATCACATAGCTATATTAGTATAATTATTAAAAATACATTGAAATCTATGAAAATGCATCTGTTACCAATTTTTATACCTAATCCAAGTAAATTAAACATGAAAGATAAAGCTAATGAATTTTGGACAAGATGGAATTTTCCAAATTGCATAGGCGCTATCGACGGTAAACATGTTAGAATGAAGTGCCCAAAAAATACCGGTTCATTGTATTTTAACTACAAGGAATATTTTTCTCTAGTCTTATTGGCTCTAGTTGATGCAAATTGTAAATTTTTAGTAATTGATGTTGGGTCCTATGGTAAAGAAGGAGACAGTGGCATATTTGGAAAATCGAAAATGGGACAACAAATTTATTCTGGAGATTTTAATTTCCCAGAAGATGAAAAACTACCAGGCACTGATATTTCGACGCCATATGTAATTGTTGGTGATGAAGCATTCAGACTACATAAAAATATTATGAAACCCTACACTAGAGCTTCAGCTAGACAAGATACAGCTAAAACTATTTTTAACTATAGGCTGAGTCGTTGTCGAAGAGTGACAGAAAATGCATTTGGGTTACTAGCACAAGTTTTTCGAGTATTTAATACTGCAATAGCAATTGATGTCGAAGTATGTGACGATTTAATAATTGTTGTATGCTGTTTGCACAATTTATTGAGAGATGCGTTTTTAGAAAAAGGCAATAAAATTTACTACGAATATGATGAAGGACAAACTTTTGAGATGGGTAGCTTAAGTAGTAGAGGTGGCTTTGCAAGTGCAGATGGTTTTGATGTGAGGGAAAAGTTTAAACAATTTTTTATTCTAGAAGGAACTGTCCCGTGGCAAAATCAACAAATTTCTTGAACATCGTCAACCAATACTGTTTTTATCAACAATCAAATTTAATTATTTGATACTTTCTAAAAATATACTTTGCTATATTTTAAAATAAATATATAAATATATGAGTGTTTTTAAGTTTAATGTATATTACAAGGAAATTCTTCATACAATAAAAAACCTACATAATGCTATACAATTATTTGGCTATTTAAAAACAATTCATTGTACTAGTATACTAATATATCTAATGTCCTAATATATCACAGATATTAAATGATAAAATATTAATAATACTAGTTTTAATATTATAATTTATTTTAAGCTTAAGGAAAACCTCTGTTGTACTACTCGTAATATTATAATTTATTTTTAGCTTATTGTAAACATACATTTATTGGAATGTACTTCTAAAATACTTATTTTTAAAAATAGACTGTATAATTTTAAAATAATTATTTATTTTAAGCTTAAAGAAAACCTCTGTTGTACTACTCGTAATATTATAATATGAAAGCCCCTAATATATATTTTTTATATTCCTACAATGAGTATTTATTACTAGGTAGTATTTATATTTTATACACACTATTTATTATTTATTATATTTTACTTACTACTACGTCCAACGGTTTCACTAATAATCTTCCAAATGGCATCTCTAATATTTAAATCTTTGTAATCCTTGTTTTGAGGATTATAAATTGGCGAATTTTTACTGACACATTCAATCAGAGCTTCATCTTCTACTTTGCTAAATTTGGTCATTGGAGCACTCATTGTTAAAAGACACGACCAACGTCAACCAGCAGTCAATTATAAATGAATGTCATATCATAATTTCTTTTCAAAATAACAAATTAATTGCGGAGCGAACGCAATTTGACTGCTCTTGAAGCGGTCAGTTCGCGTTCGCGCCGCGATCGAATTTAGATCGCCGACCGCGATCGCGCAAGGAAACCCAACTATATTTAATTTTCATTGCATCAGTAGTCACGCGATAATGATGCGCGATCTTGGATCGGATCGCGTTCGCGATCGCGCAAGGGAAACCGTACCTTTATAAAATGATTCGTTGTAGAAATTTTAATACAGAATTATAGTTAATCGTTTTAAGTCGTTGCCACGAGCACAAACAAACCATTTATTATAATATAATACATCGACTATTTGTTATTGAACATTATTCAATCAGTATCTATTATTATTATGCGTCTATAGAAATGATGGGTTTATAAGCCATATATTAGTAATAATAATAATAATAAAAAACTATTTGTTTACTTTTTAAATATAAATTATAATATTATACTATCCAACTATAAAAATGTGAAATGAAAATCCCTGTACGGGTGAACTCTGGAACTACTTATCAGATCTTCTTGATTTTTTTTTTAAACGAAAGAGTATTTCACGAAGAAGGTTTATATGAAAGAAAATTTTAGGAAAATCTACCGGTGTATAATATATTGGTTGCTATTGGTTAATCTGCCATGTTTGTTACCTAGGTAGATTGCCTACCATGATAATGTACTGCTGCGAATCAGAATTTTTATTCAGGGTGACAGAAAATTTAAGATAAATTTTTAACACTATACACCGAATATTAAATAACGAATTGAACATCGTTTGAGTCATATAAAGTTGGTACATTTGGTTAAATTTGGTTTTTATTATTCATCTGATATTGGTACGGTTATTTTAGGTTAGGATTTTGTATTAATAGATTATATTAATCCATTATAGGTGGAACACGATAAACTTGCTATAACTTTGATACATAAGAGTTAAATCATACAGTTACGTACAAACAGCACGGGGTCCGCGATCTACCGCAGGTAATCTACCTAGATTGCCTACCTGATAATATACTGCTGCAAATCAGAATTTTTATTCCGGGCAACGAAAAAGTTAAGATACATTTTGAACACCATACAAAGAATATTATAAATAACGAATTGAACACAGTTTGAGGCATATAGAGTTGGTACATTGAACGGGCAACGAAGTGCACGGGATCAGCTAGTAATATATAAAGATAATAATATAATATATTATAGGAAATATAATACATTTATGTATACTATTGTAGTATAGCCGTATAACCTATACCTATATCGCTCCGCAGTGGCGGTAAAATTGTAGCATGCAGCAATTTCCCGCAGCGGTATTTTACCGCTGCATTATCGCCGGCGATTTTCTCTCCGATGTGGGCACTTACATTACAATACATGGTCTCAATTATATCGCCACCGCTACCGCTCTAGTGTGAGGGGGCCTTGATACTAGTTATAGTATTTTTATTATACAATAAAATTACAATACGTAATAGCGGGTGACCATAGAAGGTAAATCGTAAATGATAATATTGTTTCATTATTATTATTATGATTCTAAAATTATCTTATCGATACCTACTAGTCTAGTAGTCTCGACTCTCGGTTGCATAAAGAAAAGTCTATAAATGTTTTAACGGATCTGTTACTTAAAAAAGCGACATTTTATAAATTTTACAGGAGAGCCAAATAACTGTTTTTTTTCTGCTTTTTTTAAATTTTTAAGTCGTTTAAAATAATTTCATAGAATTTTCACCTAAACAATTTTTTTAGATAATTATATTCCAAATTAGTTGCAAACATAATAAATTAAGAATTGTTATTTTTTTTACCTGTAATGTTAATTCATTTACTTTTTTGGTGCTTACGCCAAATATTTTTGAAAGTATGTCGCTTACGCTTTTTGGTGCTTATTTTTGTTATTAACCCGAATTTTGGTCCAGTGGCGTACGCAGGATTTTAATTCGGTTAGGGTATTCAATATTGATCAGTAACTCGTGAAGGGCTTCGCCCCCCCCCCACACAGCTATATAGGTGAACTAGTAAATATCACTAACATTAAATAACACAAAATAATTCTTTCAAAATAAATTCCTATTTATGTATTTAATCATCTTAGTTCTTAAGATAATATAAAACCTTCGATAATAATTATTAATCAGTATTTATAAAATATTAGGTACTCGTATAATATACACAAAAAAATAAAATAAGTGAACAATATTCATGAATTATATTTATTTATACTTTTATAATTATGTAATTTATTAAAATTATAGATTTAGTCTTAAATTTAATCTACGATTAGAAAATTTAACCAAGTGATTTAGAACCTCTTCAGGTAGTACACTTATATCTGTATGGATGTTTAGTAATGCTAACCCATTCAATCGCGACTCACTTATTGTATTACGAAGATATGTTTTTAAGCGACGTAATGTAGAGAAAGATCTTTCTGCAGATGATGTAGTAATGGTCAATGTTACTAATATTTTTAACAATAAGTAAATAGTTGGAAATAATATTTTATCACATGTAATAAGAGCATCTATAGGACTTTTTTGATTCATTTCATTTTTTTCCATAAATGTATACCATAATTTGAACTTTTCAGCAGTCATTAATTTACTTTTATTAAAAAAAGATGAATACGTTTCATGAAGATCGGCAAAACTTTTTTCTTGTTCTTTTGATGGGTTTTTTGTTTTAGGAATCAAACAGGAAATTTTTTTAGAATAGTATTATGTGATGTGAGTCTTTCACGAAGCTGGAGCAAAAATGTGTCGAGAAATGGTATAAAAATTGACCGTAAAAAGTGCTGCTCGACAGTTTCAGCTGGAACATTATTCCTAGGTTTTTGGCGATTAATTTTTCTTGGAAGTGAAAAATCAGAAATACCAATTTCTTCACAAGTTTTCTTAACAGTTTCAAATAATTTCATAAATTCATTTTCATTGTTAATACGAAGTTGTTCAATTAAATTCTCGACACATGAAGCAGCATCTAATGCAGTTTTTAAATCTGAATTTTCAAGTTTCAAACTACTGCTCAAACCAACACTAATAGATAGGACTTTAGTTAAAACCATAGAGTATATAGAGATGCCCTATCAGAATAAGTATTATGAATTATGTGAAGCAAAACATGTCGGATTTGGTTTCCAATAACTAACAACGCAACTGATAGATAGCGCTAATTTTCAACTTTTCGTAAATCCCAGCAATGTAATATTTTGAATATGTTATAATACTTTTTACTCAGGAACTATTTTAAGAACAAACCTAAGATGCTGGTGTGTTACAATAATTTAAGTATTGATAGTACTGATAATTTCCTCACCAAAAAGTTACTACCCTCCCATAACATATTATAATAGTAGGTATTTACGTATTTGTGCAAATCAAGTTCAGTTCAGTAATATTATAATAATTAATATTATATTGATAGTTATAAATAAAGGTTAATATAACCATAGAACAATATGATATAATTGAGTAATAATAATGAGTAATAGAATTAAATTACAATAAATATTGTATTATAGTTCATATACAATAAAATATTTTCTATAGTTTGCCTACACTGTTTTGTTTCCATTTCCGCTTCATATTATTTCAATTAGGGCTCCTCTATATACTCTATGGTTAAAACGTAAAGAGTAAAGAGAAACTTGAAATTGTAATTTTTTAATTGCACATAATAATTGATCTGCCTGAGATGATATATTACTAAAAATCCAAGAACATTCTTCAATAGATCCAGACGATCCATTACTTGAATTATTAAAACCAAAACTATAAAAATACTTTTTCAGTATTTGCAAAAGTTTTGAAAAGCAAGCATTAAATAGCTATATACTTAAATTACATTACAAAGCAGGTTATTTATTTACTTAGTTAATTTTAATTTTATAAAATATTTTAAAAACCCATGCAGCCATGCTTATCTTACCATCATAGATGATTTGAACCTTAGTCATAGTTAATGATAATTTTTAAAACCCTAGGTCAGAACCCTAGAACCCTATCCCTGCGTACGCCATTTATCTTTTTTGGCCATAGGATTATGTACGCTGTTTTCAATTGAATTTATTATTGTCAAGTTTGAGCTTGTGTTTCTTTTTAAACTGATATCACGACGTGTGTTGGAGGATGGGGGTTATAAAACTAACCATTGTACTTCCTATGAAAGCTCTCTGGGCCATTGGTAGTTCTAAAAAATAATTATAAAAACTTAAAGATCTTGTATTTAATGGTAAAACTTAAGTGGGATGGAACAAGAATTTAAGTTAAATTTTTTTTTTAATCATACCTTGGATTTACTGAAGGTTCTTGTGCCCAAATATATGGTGGAAATAATGCATCAGGTGCAATATATGTCTATACTCAATAGTCTGTAAATACATGACCTTCTTCAAGGCTGGGGCTAATAATTATTCGGCTATTAATGCTAAAAACACATCTTCAATTTCGTCACTGGGTAAAAACGGTAAGCGGAAAAATAATTTTGGACATTGACCTAATTCTTTGTTATAATTTTTATATGCATTTCTCAAACTTGAATCTCCGTTAATCTGTAGACATTTTATTTTATTACAAAAATGCTTCAAAGTCGCAAAGAGTATTAATTTATAGATAAGATTATATTTTAAATATTACCTTTCTCCACCAAGCTTGGCCTAAATGAAAACGGCATGTTACAATCATCACGTTCGGAAATATTTCTTTTGAGCTGGTTACACACTAGGCGAATAGTTCGCGCGCGGTCGCGGTTTTTATCCGCGGAGATTTAAATTCGCTTTCGACACAAAGCTTACACATTGTAACATTTTACGCGGTTAATCGCACCAAAATTGCGCCAAATATCATTACCTCGTGGTTACTCGTTCGTGTATGGTCTTTTATTCTCGTGCTCACAGTTTTTTAGCTTAGTTAAATAATTTTATCGAATTAAAAATGGTTTTTTTGAGTCGTACTCAGACCGTTTGTCTTGCTTATATTTGCATAAAAAAAACAGGAAAAACGAAAAAATAGGCGTTTTTGGGTTCATCCTCTAAACTTGAAAAGGCCTCGGGAAAGCCAATTTCAAGTTACGTTTATGACTTTAAGATTCCATCCAGACGAGTTCTTAAAGTACTACCGTATGTCAATTTCATCATTTGATGAACTGGTAAGTAAAATCATTATTGTTATAACATTAATGATTGTTCTGTCTTAAAAATAATTGTATTCTAATAAAAATTATGATTTTAATTTTTAGTTATTACGAGTAAAGCATAGATTACAAAAACAAAATACAATTCTTCGAGATTCAATACCACCTGAAGAAAGATTGTCAGTGACATTAAGGTAAAACAGTTATACCTCGCAAAGTATACTATATAAGCAAAACCATAAATGATAATATTTAATGAAACCGCAAAATTAATTTTATATATATTTTCTCTATAAAATAAAAATAATTTTATGTAGCAGCCTTAGTTCTCAAAATATTTATAATAAAAATAACACAAATTATTATATCATTAATATAGGTAATATTAAAAAACCTGTGTCAAAAAGCTATAAAAATTATATAATTCCATATACTGAAAAAAATATTTTCCAGTTAAACTATACTTAGGAGAAATAGTTGTGAAATAAAAAAAAATACGCTGGTGTTTTAGATTATAAATAATAGATTAAAATAGTCTTAATTAAATTCAAAAAAAAAAAATTATTAAAAGTAAGTGCACGTCCTGTGAAATATGTTCTAAATTATAAAACTTCTGATACATTTAGTTACCTACTTAATGTAAAATAATAGAACTATCTGAAAAAGATGACTGCAGTGACTCATGATTATAAGACGTAGGAAGACTAGAATGTATTACTGCAGGTTGAGAGTACATTGTTGGTCCAGATACTGTCTGCGAATATCCTCCGAGTGGAAAATTGCTCTGATTATATACTTGACGATACATTGATGTATTATCAAGAGTATGATTTTTTACCCTTTGTATAGCATTTATTAATTCAATGTAGAGCATTGGCTTTTTATCCTCACTGATAGATTTCATTTGAGGCAAAAGGGACATTAGAAATGATTTGTCTGGGTCAGTGGCTTCATTTTCACTCCTAAGAGACTTTAGTAACTCATCCTCAAAGTTAATTTTTTTTTATGGTTTCGTACGTTTCGGCATAGGTTTTACATTTTTGTTTACTGTTGCAGATGTCATGGATGTTTCCAAAACAGGATTTGAATTAGTGATTTCATCATTGACACAATTCCCTTCAATTAAATCCTCCTCCACTGTTTGCAAATTGTCTTTGTCTTGTTCGTCCTCAGTTTCCTCTTCGTCACTTTCGTGGTTAAAATTTCCTTCTGTTCTGATATGCATACAATTAGTTATAAATTAGTAAATTCTTATATGCAATAATGGTATGATTATAAATAGTATATAAGGTTAACTATTTATGTAAAATCGAAGTTTATATTTACTTTCTATTTTCCATTGTTGGTCGCAAGAACTCTAAAATTTCAGAGAATACGTATTTTTTTTTTTTTTATTAGCTGCCTGGCCAGACTTTGTAATACATTTTTTTTGTATGTGTCTCGCAAGTTTTTCCACTTTTTTTGCAATTCAATGACTACAATGTGAAAATACATAGATTAATATAAAGTTAATGTCCTATACCTATGCATTGTCAATAATAATTTTATAATATTTATTATTTAATTATTTATAAATTAACGTAACTTGGATTTGATTAAAAGTAATTCATTATTATTATTTTTTAGGAAAAATGAATTTAACCAACTGTAGTTAATACTCATGCCTAATACTAAAATTAATAAAATTAATTTATTCACAATAATATCATCAAATACACTTAGTGTGATATTATAGACTGACTGACTGTCTTCGCTCAGAATTGTTTTTCCAATGTACTTATAGAATCTAAAATATTTACATGAATATTTACGCAACAACAGTTTTGAATAAAATCAAATTAATACACTAAATAAATAAAATAATTGTTATACATTTTATATTATACATTTTTATTAAACAATGATTTTTAATCGAGTTCAAATTTAATAAATCCATTAGACACAACTTATACAAGTTTAATATGTTGTTTTTTTTATTTAGATACTTGGCTACTGGGACAAATTTTTTGTCTTTACATTTCGACTTTTTGATGGGAGTATCGACCATAGCCAAAGTAGTTAATGAAACGTGTATGGTGGTTTGGGATGAGTTACAACCCACTGAAATGGCACCACCCACTCAAGAAAATTGGTTGGAAATAGCGGATGGTTTCTACAATATAACTCAATTTCCTAATTGCGTTGGAGCTGTCGATGGTAAACACATCCGGTTGCAATGTCCAAAAAACAGTGGTACTCAGTATTACAACTATAAGAATTTTTTTTCTTTGGTTTTAATGGAAATCTGTGATTCAAATTATTGTTTCACAATAATCGATGTAGGCTCTTTTGGGAAAGAGAGCGATTGCAATATTTTAAAACAGTGCCCTTTTGGAAAAAAATTAAACACTGACAAAATAAATTTCCCTCAAGATAAATGTCTACACTCAGAGAAATATTTCATATATTTAAGTAAAAATGTAGGTATATTAAATTAAAGAAAATTGGGCATGATTTCGAGCCTATGATATTTATTCATTAAAATAAGTACCAACTTTTCATTAAACCTATGTTTTACAATTTCATTTAATTAAATCAAAATTGCATTAATTGTATTTCTATTTTACTAGAATTATAGAAATTATTGAATAGAATTAATGATATGGTGTTATTGAATTTAAAAAAATGATCCCTTAATTAGAAGATAAATTGATTTAAAATAATGAAAGTTGTATCATTGATGTCATCCTAGTACTTCCATTGTTTTTATAATATTTACTTAAGACTAAAGAACTATTATTCTTTATATCTAATTATTCCTCATACATTTTATGAATAATTTCCTTTAAATCAGTTCACAAATATTGTCATAATTTAAAGGCATTTTCTTTATACCTTTCTTAAAATTAATAAAACATTGTAAAAATTAATAATATTTTTTTTTTTGTAGAATAA